GTACAGGGGGGCTGGGGGGTACAGGGGGGCTGGGGGGGCTCATTATATTTATTATTTTTCAGTCTGCAGCTTTTCTGTTTCTGACTTTCTCCATTTTTCCCTCTGATCTGCAGAATCTCATTGTTATAATTATATGATTATCAGTCATAACCAGGCTGAGCAGAACCGAGCAGAACTGTGTCATGGAGCTGAGCTGGTCGGGTTCTGTTGCTCCTCCTGCTCGTTCTGGACCTGTTGGGTCGCTGGTGGTTCCGGTCCCTTCAGGTTAATCTGCTGGCAGCAGCTGCAGCCGCTCATTAGCCTGAAGGGACCCAGTAAGAACCTCAGGCTGCACCGCGGGTCACTGGGACAGAACCAGAACCAGGAGGAAGCTCCATGTTCATCCTCCATGTTTAATAAAATCCACATCCTGTGAAAACCACTAATGATGGTTAGTGATCAGAACCGGAACCACCTGGACATGCAGGTATCAGAGGAACAGAACTGGTTCTGTTTAAATCCCACAGGGCTCTGGGTTCGGACCGGTTCTTTTATCAGAATTATGAATCTGGAATCATATCAGATTTATATACAGTTTATCGACACACAAAGGGTCCAAAGGTTCTCAAAGATGGTTTACTATATATATATTATATATGTATATATATATATACATATATAATATATATATACATACACATAAATATGATTCCTATTGTAGAAAATCATCACTGTGATAAATGTTCATGTTATTAACATGTTAATAATCTGCTATTAATCTCCAGAATATTGTCAAAGTTAGAACATCCTGTCCAGGAGTGATGCTGGAAAACTGACCCGGCCCACATCGACCTACAGGTAACCCGCCCTGACTCCGCCCACTACCCCCAGCCCCGCCCTTACCTCTCATACTCCAGGTTGTCATGGTCACATCGGGCGTCCTTGTGTTTCTCCCAGTCCTTCCCGTGGCGGCAGGTCGTCAGGGAAACGATGTCCTTCCCGTTGTGGATGTGATGCAGCGCGTTGCGGGTGTCGGAGCCGATGCCCGTCAGGTAGCGCTTCCCCTTGAACATGAGCAGGTACTTCCTGCGCGGCGGCGTGGTGTTCCTGAGCAGCCAGCCGCGCTCGCCGCCTTTCTGCGGGTGATCCTTGGAGAAGAGCGGGATGGAGACGTCGAAGCCGGGCCGGAAGTGCTCCGTGTTCAGGCTGGCCTTGGCCAGGATGGCCTGGCCCACGTTGAAACCCAGGTCCTCCGTGTAGTTGGGCCAGGTGCCAGAGTACAGGTTGAAGATGAGGTGGTTCCGCCCGTCGTTCCAGGACGGGAAACTGCGGATGCGTTCGTCCATGTTGGGGACGAACTGCCCCGACAGCTGGTCCCGGTCCAGAGTGTCTATCCCCAGGACGAACAGGCAGGCCTCCCGGGGGTCCGGCGTGTAGTAGCGCGACTCGGCGATGGAGGTCAGGATCTTCCTGTAGCTCTCCGACACGCGGTCGCCTTTCTCTGCCGGGTAGATGTAGACCCGGAAGCCTTCCCGCCCTCGGCGCCGGCACCGCGAGAAGTCGAAGCAGGTGTCCATGCGGCAGCGGCTGTCCCTGTAGACGGTGGACCAGGCCTGCCGCCGTTGCCGTGGCGACTCGGCCGAGCCCGGGTCGGTCTGCAGCTCGTCCAGGTGGGCGTAGCGAGGCAGGAAGGCCCGGTCGGTCCAGTTGGGCCAGGGCCGCAGGACGTCCGAGCGGTGGCGCGTCAGCAGGCGCAGCAGGCGCAGCTGGACGCCGCCGCCGCAGTAGAACAGAACCAGCCAGCAGCAGGCGCACAGGCCCAGCAGGACGTACTTCTTACGCGCCTGCATGGGGGCTCAGGCCCCCCACCGGGCCGGGCCGGGGCGGTCCGGACTCTAACAGCGGGGTCCGGGCCGGGGCGCTAACATGACAGCCGCTGATCCACAACGATCCGATCTGAGGTTCTGATCCACTCCTGCTGCCGTCCGGCCGCGCTCTGGCTGATGAAGGCCGGCTCCCCGCTCCGCCTCATGCTGACGGCGCGGCGCCACCTGGACAGGAGAGAGCAAACACAGACCACGTTACTGCACAACAAGGCTGCTGCTGTGTGGCTCCGCGGGCCGGACCGGGGGCTGGACCCGCTCCAGCAGCAGAACTGGAACTGCTTTGATTCTCTAACAGGATCCAGTTTGATTCAAACATCTTAAACCAGCCGGGTCCCCGGAGGAGAGCCTGCTGCCGGCAGGGCAACCAAACCAGGACTGACACCTCCCTCTGCCAGAGGTGGAGCAACTTCCTGACGAAACATCACATTGATTTGTCAAAACATGGATTTACAAATACCAACATTTAGTTTGAGGCAGAGTTAACTAAATATTTTGGTTGTTAACTAATAATTTGAAGCTAAATATTTATCTGGCATTTCTAAATGAATGAGCAACACGGTGAAAATGCTCCAGGTTTTCCTCTTAGGACAGGATAAATAACCAAAGCTGCTGCTGTCAACTTTTCACTGTAACTTTACCAGCAGCCCATAAACATCAGCCAGAAAAAGCCATGGAAACGGCTGGTTGCTAGGAAACGATGTAATCCACACGATGCGTGATGTCATCAACTGTATATTAATAAAAACATAGTTTGTGTCCTGAAGTAAACATGCTTCAGTTTAAATGTCGATGAGGATGGAGCAGCTCTGCAGGAGGCCTAAAACCTCCGCAGAGGTCATAACTGTCAGGGGTCAAAGGTCAGCAGGCCAGAGCCAGAACCGACTACAGAGAGTGTACCACCCAGTCTTCAGAAAGCAACAGAAATCATAAGAAATAAAATGAGATATTTCAGAATGAGGTCCAAACAGGAAACAGGAAGGGAGGAACTGGGAACGTCACACCGGGCCCCAGTTTACCGTTTAAACAGTTGAACAGAACCAGGTCTCTGTGAGTTTCAACGGTTCTTCTGCGGTTCTTTATTTACACAAACTTTCCCCCCATTAACTGAGTGTGTGTGTGTGTGTGTGTGTGTGTGTGTGTGTGTGTGTGTGCAGCTCCCCTCCTGCCAGCAGTCACACAAAGGCAGCTTTCAGGCCTCACCTTCACATTCCTCCTACCTGCCCGGCCCGCTAGCAGCTCCACAAACAGAACCGGGTCAATCGGCGCCAGCAGAGAACACTCAGGCTTAACGCCGACCTGATTCTACTGACCGACATTCTGACCCGGCTTCAGACTGCAGAACCAGAACATCTGGAATGTGGAGCAACAAGCTTCCATTCAGAACCACCAGCACATTCTGGGGTTCAGTTCTAGAGGTTCTACAGGACAAACCGGGTTTCAGCAGGTTCTACAGAGTTCTGGTTAAAGATGGAACCAACATGGATCAGAGGTCCACTCACCTTTTCAATGTTGCTTCAGTCCAAATAGGTTCTGCTCAGCTCTCCTGTGTCTGGTTCCCTCCATCCTGGTTCCCTCCATCTTTGTTCCCTCCGTCCTGGTTCCCTCCATCTTGGCTTCCTCCATCCTGGTTCCCTCCATCTTTGTTCCCTCCATCCTGGTTCCCTCCATCTTTGTTCCCTCCGTCCTGGTTCCCTCCATCTTTGTTCCCTCCGTCCTGGTTCCCTCCATCTTTGTTCCCTCCGTCCTGGTTCCCTCCATCTTTGTTCCCTCCGTCCTGGTTCTTGTCCTCCATCAGTTGCAGTTCTGCTAACCTCAGCCTCTTGGGAATATTTCTCTTCAAATGATTTGGGAATGACCTTTGACCTCTCACCTGTTTCTCTAAGGTCATTGCTGATGTCTTTCCATCGCGGCGTTGTGCTAACACCCTGGAGCTCCAGATGGCGCCGTGTTTCTGTTCACAGATTTTCTGTTTCAGCTTCATGTTGATTCATGAATTTATCAGAATTCCCGCTGAAGGAAACCATCTGGTGTCTCCATTCTGTCCTCATATTCATGAGTCACAGAAAGACCCGACTCCAAAGGGTTCTGGATCAGCTTCTTTCGTGACAAATGCTGGTTCTGGTTCTGGGTGGTCGGGTTAGAGTCCGCTTCCAGCTCGGTTCCTTCAGGAACCTGATTCCTCATCAATAATTCAGCTCTTGCTGCAGCTGAAGAATTGATTTTCCTCCCTGCTGTTCTCCTCCTGCAGCCGAAGATCCAGAGAATCGTTTGACCGGGTTTCAGTAATCAGATTACAGAGTCGGCCCAGGTGAAAAACTCAAGGAATTACAGGTTCTGGTCTCAGACAAGCAGCCCGGAAACCCGAGCAGAACCGGGTCAGAACCACATCGCTCATAACGGTGACCCAAAACAGAAACTCTGATTTTAAACACGGAGTACCACAAGGGCCGGTCCTTGGACCCATTTTCTTCTCAAGACATCTCCCCCACTCCCCTCCAGGCTTTACTTGCCCCCCCTCCAGGCTTTACTTGCCCCCCTCCAGGCTAAGCATCATTTATTTATTTAATCTAAAGTTTTTAGGCAACAGTGACAGTAAAGACGGTTTATGCTAGTTTTATAGTTGACGCATTGAATTGGTGGCACCACTAATTTGGCTGCCGTTGCCCGTTGACCTCCCGCTATTATTTTGAAATTATGGCGCCTGCTTGTACGCCTACAAATTTTTTATAAGTTTAAAGTTTTCAACACAAAACCATGGACTGCCCGAGCGCTCCTACCAGGGACAGGCTGCTTAAATGTTGGTAAAACAAAGTTTATGGTTATTTTGTAGCAGTAAAAAAAACGTCCCAATGCTCAATTATATGTTAAAAAATTTTAGATATAAAAACAAAAATCAAGTTTTAGAAGAGTTCTCATTGATCAACGTCTGTTCAACGTCTGTCGCATATAAATCAGATAAAATATTCAAAACTCTCGGTGTTTTAATGAAAGTGAAAATGCCTTGCATGTTCTGAAAAACTCACCGATTGCTCCATCTGCGGCATATTCTGCATAAAACATTTTAAATCAGATTGCAGATTGCAGAAGCTAACTCTAAGCAACCAAACATAAAAAAATGAAAGGCAGCTAATGCTAAACTGCAAACCACACAAAAATTAGCAGAGGCTAATGCTAAAACACTAAACATAAGAAATTAGCTGAAGTTAATGCTAACCACTGAGAAGACGCTTCTCAGTCTGAGTCTCATCTTCATCTCCTTCCAGTCGATGTCGGTGAGAGAATCGCTCATATCGAAGTTCTCCGTTTCTCATTCTGCTGATTTTTAAAGTTGTGTGATCAGTACCAAAGCCGAAAACAGCTAATGTGACATAAAGTTCATCCAGGTCATGGAAATGGGAAACATTTTATGGCAATAATTGGTTTAAAAGGCTCAAAAACAGCAGCCATCTTGGAAAAATGACCTTCTTCCTGAAATCCAAGTGGCTGATGGGAATTTTTATGCTTGTATCAACACTAAGGATTCTAACAGCAAAACGCTGATGGAGGCCAGTGTGTGTGCATGCGTGCGTGCGTGTGTGCGTGTGTGTGTGCGTGCGTGCGTGCGTGTGTGTGTGAGTGTGTGCGTGCGTACGTGTGTGAGTGTGTGCGTGCGTGCGTGTGTGTGTGTGCGTGCGTGTGTGCGTGTGTGTGTGTGTGTGTGCGTGCGTGTGTGTGTGTGTGAGTGTGTGCGTGCGTACGTGTGTGAGTGTGTGCGTGCGTGCGTGTGTGAGTGTGTGCGTGCGTGCGTGCGTGTGCGTGTGTGTGTGTGTGTGTGTTTTCTCTGGCTGCAGCAGATTAGTTCAGTTCAGATGAAAACACGGAGCTTGTGGTGAGGTGAGCGGCTCAGAGGAGCTAAAATTAAACGGGGACTCTGTCATTACAGCCCGACTGTTTGGGCCGGTTCTGTTTGGACCGGGTCTGTTTGGACCGGGTCTGTTTGGACCGGTTCTGGTTGGACCGGGTCTGTTTGGGCCGGTTCTGTTTGGACCGGGTCTGTTTGGGCCGGTTCTGGTTGGACCGGGTCTGTTTGGGCCGGTTCTAGTTGGACGGGGTCTGTTTGGACCGATTCTGTTTGGACCGGTTCTGTTTGGGCCGGTTCTGTTTGGCCCGGGTCTGTTTGGACCGGTTCTGTTTGGACCGGGTCTGGTTGGACCGGGTCTGTTTGGGCCGGTTCTGTTTGGGCCGGTTCTGTTTGGACTGATTCTGTTTGGACCGATTCTGTTTGGACCGGTTCTGTTTGGGCCGGTTCTGTTTGGACCGGGTCTGGTTGGACCGGGTCTGTTTGGGCCGGGTCTGTTTGGGCCGGGTCTGTTTGGACTGATTCTGTTTGGACCGATTCTGTTTGGACCGGTTCTA